ATGGCCTACATCGACTACGAAAAGGCATTTGACTCTATGCCAATACAAGTAGTATTAGAAGCTATTCGAAGACAAGGAGTAGAGGAAGTCTATTGTAAAGGATTGGAAGGCATATGCGAAAACCGGACAGCAACCATCAAACCGATAAAATACCAATTACAAAAGGTGTTAGGCAGGGCGACACCATCTCAACAAAACTGTTTACAGCTTGTTTCAAAGAAATATTCCAGAAGTTAAAAAGGATTAGAAAGGGTATCAATAAACGATATTGTTCTCTCTTGCGTATTAGCAAATGAACTGCGGTAATTGATACACGATGTGCATAGATAAAGTCTAAAAGTTGGACAAGATAAACAGAAAAAAGACCAAGTTCTGTTAGAACAGATATATGTACAAGGCGAAGTGCTACAGACAGTAGACGAATATACATATCTAGGGCAACTCATATAGACAAACTCATCCAGTGAAGAGGAAATAAAGCGACGCATCAGTCTAGGCTGGAGCACCTTCGGCAGACACAGTAGCATACTAAGAGCCTCTTTGCCAAAATGTTTAAAAGAAACATGGACAACAACCAAATAACTTCACAGATAACTGATAAGTGCCCAGTGAAGTGAAAAGGTCGATGCTGGGAATTAGCTTAAGAGATGGGATGAGAGCGACGTGGATCAGGGAACAGACAGTAGAATCATAAAAAAGAAGAAATGATTATGGGAAGGTAATATATGCAGGAAACAAGACAACAGAGGGACAAAAAAGTAACAGACTGGGATATGAATAACATTCGAAGGCCAGTATGGCACAAAATGCCTAATAAAACGTCTGCAGCGAAGTCGAATAGACGCGCACACAAGAAAGTGCCTCTCTCCCTCCTCGACAGGAGCCGCCAGGCACACGGTGGACGACGTGCCTGTGGAACTGTGCACTCACGCCATCTACGCCTTCGCCGTCTTGGACGCCGACTCGCTCGTCGCCAGAGAGCACGACGCGTACCTGGACAAGGCCGCCGGGCTCGACAACTACCGTCGCTTCGTCACGCTCCGCGAACGGAATCCGCAAGCCAAGGTGAGTCCCCGTGCTCAGAACGGCCGATTTTTCTCGAAGCCTGGCATTGTTTCCTAGGGATTCGTTCGAGGGCAGCGGCTCCTTTCTTTGACCAGAAGGATAAAAACAAGTATTTTTTTCGAACAGATGTTGCTCGGCCTGGGCGGCTGGACCGATTCTCGCAGCGACAAGTACTCCCGGCTGGTGTCGGAGCCGCAGCGTCGCGCCGCCTTCGTCAGCCACGTGGTCTCCTTCCTGCAGGAGTATGGCTTCGACGGACTGGACTTGGACTGGGAGTACCCGGGGTACCAGAGCTCTCCTCAGGATAGGGAAGGTAAGGGCTCAACGCGTGCCTCCTTTTAAACAGATCTGTGGAGAGGTAAAAGGTGTTCTCTTCATTCCTTTGCAAATGTTCCCCCTACTCATAACGTCTGGCTCCTTCAGGGTTCCGCCTGTGGGTGGAGGAGCTCCGCGCTGCCTTCTCGCCCCACGGCCTCCTGCTGACGGCGGCCGTGTCCGCGGGGAGGGACGTGATCGATCGGGGCTACGACGTCCCCGCCGTGGCGGAGGCGCTGGACCAGATCCACCTGATGAGCTACGACTTCCACGGGTCCTGGGAGGGGCGGGTCGCCCACCACGCGCCGCTGTTCCCCGCCCCCGGCCAGGAGAAGGAGCTCTCGGCTGACTTCGCCGTCAGGCACTGGATCAAGAGGGGCGCGCCTGCGTCCAAGCTGGTCCTGGGCGTCCCCTTCTACGGCCGATCCTGGACCCTGGCAGGCGCCGACGCCTCGAGCGGAGCGCCGGCTTCTGGCGCCGGGCGCCCTGGACCTCTGCTCAAGGACGCAGGCACCATGGCGTACTACGAGATCTGCCAGGCGCACCAGCGTGGAGGCTGGAGGAAGGTCTCCGGCCCAGACGGACCTCACCTCACCCACGGAGACCAGTGGGTCGGCTACGACGACATTGCCGCCATCAGGAAGAAGGTAAGAGGTTCTTTGAGTTCTGTCCCCTTAAAGCCCATCGATGTCTGCAAAAGCAAAGATTAGAATAAGAATAGGAACATTCCTGAAGACACTGCTCGTCCCCAGGCGCTGTACGCCCAGCAGAAGGGCTTGGGAGGAGTCATGGTCTGGGACATCGCCACGGACGACTTCCGGGGCACCTGCGGCAGGGGCGCCAACCCGCTGCTGTCGGTCATAGCGAAGGTGCTGACGGGCTCCAGCCCCGGGTCCTCCGCCCGGCCGCCCACCGCCAGGTCAGTCGCAGTGGATGCTCAGCCCTTTGGTGGGGGAGATGGCAGACTGGAATAACCTTCGAATGCATTCATATTCCGAGACTTACTCGTGCCTCAAATTCCAGGCCTAGCACTCCCCGCCCAGTCCAGCCAACGACTCTCCGCCCCGTGCGACCAAGTCCCTCCCGCCCCACGCCCACGACGCCCTCACCGGGGGGCCAG